TCCCCCCCCCCCCCAACCTCCACCTGCTTCTCGGTACACCAAGTAGTTTGTTTCGAAATGGTTCCACCAACGCCTTGCATGCACATCCATTGTTTTACTGCTTCAAAAATACCATTTGACCTATACAAATCAGATCAATTCATAATATGTCTTATGCCTAAATATAAATATCACAACATGCAGATTTTTGTAGATGGAGAAACAATCTAAAGCTTGAAACCTTATGTCTGTGGGAACGCAAACACATTTTTTAACATACATCACAAGTTACGCACAAGCTACTGTGCAAATTTAATGTTTAAATATTGACAGCCCAGTGAAATATTACAAACATTAATTGAGGTGTTTGCTTCGCCATCTTCATACTAAGTGCGGTTCAGAGGCTAGCTACTGAATTCATTGTATAATTTGATTTTTTACGTAAACTTCATCAAATGAAGACGGTTACACCGATTTCACTCTGAATTTCCAGGATTAATTTTAAATCTAGTTTGTTAGAAGTCTTAAATTTGTTCAAATGAGAAACGCAAGCTGCACTCTATACGCTCTCAAATGAGCGTTAGTACGAACTTTGCAAGCATTGTTAGCTTTGTGATCTACGCAGAGAGGACCGAGTATAGGTGATAAATAGTTCAGTATTCAAGGATATTGCAGGAGCAACATGGCGTGTATTGAATGCGATATTTAAACAAACACACATCATGGTGATCAGAGCTTGTGGTTTTAAGGAACGCAAGCAAAGCAAAGTATTTTTTTTCCCTACGATACGTGTAGATCCGTTACAAGAACAATACGTAATAATTACAACCATAGAAATCGTGTTAGAACTACAATTTCGACAAATTCAACTTCACCAAAATCATGAATAGGTGAAATTCAAAAGTCTAAATCAGATATTTGTTACTGTTGAGTAAGCATATAGTAGAGAAACGGGTGAAAAAATGTAATCCAGTGGAGAACGCGCATTTTACAAATGCGTTCTTTACAACTTTGCATTATCCCACTGGTATTATTATTAGATTATTGTGGATAAAAATATACTGTACAAAGTTAATCATATTCCACTGAACTAAAAACTGTTCAGTTAAATATTAGCAATATCAAAAACTATTCCAAACAAACTATACTGAGCTTACTAAAAGATACATTTATGCCATGTACAACTATTTTTGAAGATAAGACGTTTTAAAGAAGAGCATCAAACTTCGATTTGAGCTTCGTGTAAAGCAGGGGTTATACTGGGCCAAGGAGGAGATAACGTTACATACGCCAAAAACCATAAGTAGGGGACTCTAATACTAAATTTAATTGAAATCCGTTAAGTAACCCTCTTATACACTTTCTCTTCGTGCAATATGTGCGGGAAGAAAAACTCAATAATGCAGAAATTGTTTTATAGACTTGGGAATGTATTTATAAAGAAGTATGTGTATATGAAAAACTTTTCTTGCTGATTTGATAAGAATTGTTCTCACATTCTTCTCAATGCAACCCCCATAATCTTCCTTTCATTTATCACCATAATCTACATAATGTCCGCAGATGATGCAGCGACAACTGAGAAAATAGAATAGATATCACGTGCTTCTTATCTCATTAATAACGCGCCTGCAAACCGACGTCTAGTCTAACCTGCAACATAGGGATGTCGGAGAAGTTGCCGCATAAGCACGGGGTTTGTCTGGAGTCATGTGCGATCTGTAGATGTATTTTCCTCTAATTTGCTGAAACGTTTGCAAAAATATGTAGGTTTTGTTAAGAGAGTTTCACTTTTAAGATATAGCACAGCAATTTTCGTGAATGGTCGTGTCTTTCTTTGGGGCACCACTCTACCCCCCCCCCCCCCCCCCCCCAACCCAACTCTAGTCACACTTCGGAGCGCAGAAACTCAAGTCTTCAAGCAACGTTCCTGTTATTGTTCTCCGATTTTGAATGAAGCTACAGTGTGTTGATAAAATTTAGCAGAACTGTCCAATATCAACTTTTATGAAAGTATTTTCAGCCGTTTACGAGTTGTTGAATGCGTACAGACGGTCGGACAAACCGAGTTTAACAGGCGTTCTGAACGGATGCGACCGCGCCCTGAACACAACCACTCATTCCGAGACATATTCATTTTATATCAAATCTATATTTTCAGTGTTTTACAGCGTATGAAATATACCTCAGGCACCCCACAGAACCCCTGATTCAGAATCGCTGGTCTAGAACACGCTGGTGCACCAACCTGCTCGTAACTAACTCCGCGGAGAAGAGTCTGTCTTGAGAAGCTAACAGTCGCCCAACTAGTCAAGAACACCCTTCCCCCCGGCTCTATAAGAAAATATAATTTTCTGATTGTCTTCATATCTTTCGACAGCTGTGTACCAGGGCGTCTGGTTTTAATTTCGATTCGTTTCTGATGTTCACAGTTGAAGGCTACACTTCTGCATGGCCTGCTGCTGGTGTCCTGCGTCGCGGCATGGAACAATGAGCTGACATACTGGAGCTACGGCCGGGGATACGGCAGAGGTCACTACGGCATATCTAATTATAACTACTGGGATGATACAGCACACAATGCCGAGCCATATCCTTGTACCTACCCCTGGTGCACCTACGGAATCAACTTACAGTTATATTCGTATTGACCTCATATACAGTACAATACATGAGACGAAATGGCCGTTTGTTTATTTTCTACACTTAATCATGTACGTAAAGTGCCCTAACATTAACAATAACTGACATTTAATGTTACTGTACTAATTAAATTGTGAAAACACACAACATTAAACACTTTCCATGCTAAAGTTCCAGGTGTGTTTCGATAAAAAATCGAAAGCAAAATTAGATTAGATTCACTGTATCTGTCAAACGCTGGTAACAGACTCCTAGCTCCTGGACTGATTCTGTTCAAATAAAATATATACCGGTGACAAAATATTAAATATTTCTAAGAAACACGAAATAAACATACAAACAAACAATACGGAATGGAGGGGGAATGCACACTTAACATAATAAATAATAATAACATATATCCGTGTAGTGTTGAGTTACTGTAAAACATAATTTTGCGTCAGATGTTTATATCTCGGAGACACTCCACTAAGAATGCGCGTTCTATAGCAAAAAACAAGAAACTCAGACCATGTGGTCTACATTGTTATTATAGAATCTTCCGGTTGTTAAAACCCACATCAATTCATTATATTTGTGTTACAAAGGAAAGTATATTAATTATTACCTAACTGGCTTTGAGAGAACAGACATTAAACTACATTGAAAGTATAAATAAACTGCGCACAGATAACCCACTTACTTTTGTTGGATCGGAGTAGGTTTGGCCCCTGTCATAAAGAAGACGAAGAAGAAAATCTGGAAAAAAGAGAAAGGTTTTAAAAATTGCGCTGAGTTTTATTATATGGTGACCTTGAAGAGCAAGTTATGAAGTTTAATTCTTGATAGTGTACAATCGTTATTTTTAGCACGTGAGTTATTTACTGTGGCCAGTTCACAATTAGCGCTTAATTATCAGTTCCTTAGTGGGAAACACTGTGTTGGTAATTAGTCACGGCAAATCAGTCACATGAGAATCTATCAAGAATATGAAATGTTTCCATTATGAACATACACAAATATACTATTTATAACAAAACTGATTACGTGATTCCTCTTGTTCTAAATTTTAGGCATGAGAAATCATTTCAGATTCATGTTTTGATGAGAGTTATCAACACTTAATTTGTGAAATAGGAGAAGACATTCACGTTAAATATATGAATGAAAAGTGACAGGTGATTTGTGTTCGCAGCAGAATTTCCCAACCTCCTACATCATTACGTGATATGTAGGGCTTATATATCCATACAGGTACATTGCACTACAATATATTCTTATATTTTTATATTTATCGATCGGAGAATCATACTCCCTCCTTCTTCAGGGCTGAAGATGAACTATGTTTCACCGAAAAT